AATTTTTAATTACAACTAACATTAAATTTTTAATTACAACTAACAGTAAATTTTTAATTACAATTAAAATTAAACTTTTAATTTAAATCAAATTTACTAAATTCTAAGCGAATGCGAAAGTTTCGTAAAATTTCGTAAGTAATGACACTTGCATTTATTATTAAGTATAAAACTCAAACAAATGTGGCACATTTAGAAGTCATTTAAACCTTTTAATTGGATGTATGAAAAAGCATTTTTATTTGAAATAATATTAATAATTTTAACTTATTTTGTGATTATGATGGAGAAAGAAATGACATTTCTGATAAAACAAATAATAATTCTGATTAATAAAATCGAATTATGCTCATATTAAACCATCCATTTGATATATTTTTTTCGTTCTTATGGTTGGGGTTTACCGGAATAATCTGGTATTTAGTTAACCAGAATCCTAGTTTAATTTGAAATGTAACGAAATTTACCAAACTTTATCACGTATTATAAAATTACATTTTATTGCAAATTTCACCATATTCCAGTAGTCTTGCTTATACTTTTTTTCTCCGTGTAGGATTACACAATTATTATGAACACTTACTTTGTAATTGCATGAGATGTTTATGCTGATAACAAGCAGTGTCAGGCCTGTTCTTCCTCATTCTTTGGAAGCGACCAGGAGTTTAGAAGATAAAACTGATAAAACGGCTACCTCTAGACACTTCAATTCACTTGTGAAACTCAATAGTAGCTTCTTAATCTGTTAGAAAGATCTCAAGTAGAAAGTGCAGAAAAGAAAAAAATTGCTTATCCCTAGTATATTGTCGATGGTTTGGAATTTTGCATTGGAAGCTGACTGCTCGCATCCTCTTTTTGGTGTTGCATTTAACCAGGTAACACGGGCTCATAAATGAGAAAAACTGTCATGAATCTGCAACAACAATTTATTATGGCTTTCCATGATTATTTCACGTACGCATCCATGAGTGTAAGTACGCATCACATCACTTAAGCTTGATGAGACATTTAGTGTCTAAAAGTAGGAATTTTCAAATTTTGAACGTCATTTCATGAACATAACACGGTGGTTATAATACTTTTGTATAAAATAAATAAGGTGAGAGCTAATCCGTTTATCTTAAACTAAGAATTTAAATAAACGAAACCTTACGTTGAAAGAAATTACGCCAAAACTAAAAGAATATGGTAAAATTTGCCGTGTTTCTGGCTGTGTTGCAACACCAAAATGCTCGATAAATTTTACTGATGATCTTTGGTAATTAATTCGGTAAAATTAGTGATAAAATACTGTTTTATTAAAAATGGTAAATGATAATTTTGTTGTGATAATTTTATGAATATGGCGAAATTTGGTAATTTTATAATAACACATTGCAATATGACATAAAAACCATTCAATCGTTTAAATTTAATTTTAAGTTTTGTGTTTCGTATCAAATGTGCGGTATTAAGAACTATAATTTTTAAAAATAGAGTTTATGGTCAATAGTTAAAACATGAACGGAATAATTTCCAAACTAATGGATTAAATATCATATTTTGGTTTAATTAACTATAATTGTAGTTTTTTTTACCAAAAATGTAATTACCTTACAATTCGGTAAATTTCCCAGAATTGTTATTTTTCGTGTAATAGTGCAGCTTGTTTCAAATCCATAATAAATTTTGGTTAACCCATTGTTATTAAAGAACTAACTAAAAGTCTTCAAAATATTCATTCAACGTAGAGAGAGAGAGAGAAATCGAGACAGTAAAACAAATAACGAAAGATATAGCTATAATATATATTTATTAAAAACACTCCATTCTTTTAGATCAAATAACGTAAAAATGTACTAAAATGTGTTTACGAATTTAAATGCCTCAAAGATTAAAAAACACCTTTTTAAATCTTTTCTTTAGACATCAAATAATTTAAAATATTACAGAAGCTGCAAAACTTTCATCCAAAAAAGTCCTTAGTGTTTTTTTTAATTTATTTTTTCCAGAGACTCGTTTACTTTAATCTGAAGGCAATTCAAACTAAATTCATCATTCTTTTCAACCTTGCAAAAATATCTGAAAAACAATAAATTATCCATGCGTAAATCACTTTCCAATGAAAGTCAACTTGCAAATCACTTCACAAAAGATATTAACCAAAGTATTTTTCCCTAGAATGTTTTCACGGCGCAATTTGTACAGGAAAAAACTTCAAAACGTAGCTTCCCTTTTTTCCCGTTACTCAGCGATTAAAGCGAAACCAATTTGAATCAACCAACCTTTTTGAAATATCTGGGAGCATGCAGAAAATCATTTTTCAATAACGTCTCACAATTTGTATGTTCTCAAATGTTGTGACAACACTTTTAAATTATTTCCTGTCCCGCCCAAGTGCTGTTTTCATTATAAATATTTGACTCATTAAATGAAAGAACAAGGACTTAAATGTTTGATCTGCCAATATTGCTTTAGTGGCGACTTCTGAAGAATTAGTGATTCATTGTTAAAAGGATGAAAACTTTAGATCCCATGTCTTGACTTAGTCAAGATATTGAGTGAAGATCAAGTTATTGAAATTAGCTTGAAGCGATTGCGATATCACCTTGTTTGCTCAGACATTAATCAAGTTGACTTATGTTTACTGATGGAGTTTGTTATTACAGGAAGTATTTTCTGATGGTGCTACTACTGGAGCTTTCAAATAATTAAAATTTTCGAACTAATTGCTTTGCTAACATAAATCGTGTTAAAATAAATACCCGTATTTTTATTTTTTACCTTGTTTTGGCATATTTTCTTAAAAAATCAAAGCAAATAAAACCATATATTTTCTTATAATAACATTAAACATAAAATAATAGATTTTTTTTTTAAATTTATTTCGACTTATATAATTTAAGAAGACGAAATTTAATAGCATGTGAGATTATCACTAAGAAAATGAAATAAACGGAATAATGAAGAATGTCATAACTTCTTTAAGAATGTAAATTATTATATGTTTTTTTGCAACCAGATTGTTGATGATACATACAGCAAATAACTGACTATGCTTATGTGTAAAAATCTACATTGTTCCTACAGTTCATTCTAACAATCATTCCAAAATGATATTTTCAAAATCTACATTAAAAAAATTACTGAAAAGTCTTTAATTACATTACGGCGCTTTAATAATCCATATTTATAAGAAAACAAAATAAAAAGTTCAATTACAATATTGATTTTTTGATTTAATTTCATTTTATATCTTTGAAAATTAGTTACTGCTTAATTCTTAGCATATTACTCTTAGCATTTCAAATAGATCTATACTAATATCATTTCGCCTTTTATTTTTTAAAGACTCATATTCAGAAGGTAAACGTGTATTGAAACATTTTATGAAACAAAAATATTTTGTAAATCAAATTCAATAGAGAAAGGTAAAATGTATTTTTACTTCATTATTAATGCTACTAAATAAAAAATGAAATAATTTTATGTTTTGAACATGTTTTACCTTGAACATGCAGTAAACTATTGCTTTACACAAATTTGTTATTTTATATTTTTCTAAATTTGCAATTTTCAGTTGATTCTGAGCTGTGAAATTTTAAAAGAAAATTAGTATGTGATCAAGAAATAGCGGAATATTGACATTGGAATTTTCATTTTCACATTAAAAATTACACAGTTTAAAAAGTTAAAAGTTGCAAACCTTACAATTCGAACTCGGAGAAAAAGCTAATCTTCTGTTAAAATCACCGTACGGTATGGTCATGACATTTCGGGTTTAAAAACAACCATAATTCTGGTTCACAAAATCAAAATCACGCTAAACCATTCATTTCGTATTTATTCTGTTTGCATATTAGGAGTTTAATGAAAATTTTTGGTTTTCAAAATTATAACCCTTTGTACCACACATTTAGTGACAATATAAAACAGAAAAGTAAATTTAATCGAACCATAGAGCTTATAACAAGGTAGAATTTATCATATTCTGGTAGTTTTAACTATAATTTTTTTCCCTGTGCATTCAAGAAATGTAATATTCATGTGCATTAATCTTCTTGCTATTGAGAAGCCTAAAAAATTTTATGGTAGCTTTTTCGAAATACGTAATAATAAAAAATAATCTGATGCAAAAATGATAAATGATAATCTAAATGATAAATTTAACAAAACTAGGTTCGTTTCTATATTGTTGCAAACTCTTACTTTATATACTTAATAATTTAAACTGACATCCAGTATCTTAATACAAGTACTTAGAGTACAGCCATTCTCAAAAGAAACATAAAAAATATAAACTTCTTTAGCAGATGAAAATTTTGCTTTAATAAATTCCGTCTTAATATTCTTGATATTTTGATGGTTTCCTAGGAATTTTACATTTAATCTTCTCATTTTTGTTAAAATTACAACATACTCTACACCGTAAATATTGTACTTGTTTATCCAGCTCGTATTTTTTTATTTACCGAAATTAACTTATTGATTTTGAACTTTCGGACAATTTAGATTAATAAAATTAATGTAAGTATTAATATAAATATTAAGTTCTTCTTCTCATTGGCACGACAGCACAGGATGGGCCTTGGCCTTCTCAGCAGGCCTATGCCAAGACATTCTTCCCTTAGCCAAGGTTCTCCAGTTTATTATCCTTAAAACTTGTAGATCCTTTTCAAGGCAGTCTAAAAATCTTAGATCTGGCCGTCCTCTTTTTCTCGTACCTGTTGGCCTGGCACTGAAAACTTTTTTGGATGTTCTGCTATCCTCCATTCTTATAATGTGGGCTACCCATTTAATCCTTTGAATTTTGATAAATTTAATGACACCAGGTTCCTTATATGCTTTGTAAAGTATTATACTATATTAAGTAACTTTATTTTTTAAAAAATTTATTTTTTAGTAAATATTAAGTAGCCTTATTTTTTTAAAAATAAAATGAAAGTTTGTCAAAGAATTTTTTTTTGCTCCTCTCTAATTGTGCATGTTTGTAACTTTATTTTCATGAATTCCAAGAGCAGTTCCTCCTCGTTTCAACAAAAGCTTCGAAGTTAAAACTGTGAAAGAACATCAAGAAGTTGGGCTTACCTGCGATGCTCACGGGCAAAGTCCTTTAACTGTATCCTGGAAAAGATACCAAAGACCTATTGATAGAAGCGTACTATCAAGGTAATTTCTCTATTTCTTTCAACTATGATGCAGCTTGTTATGTTTGCTCCCAGTTTCAAATCAGAAATTCTCAAACAACTATTTTATTTTCTAGAATACTATGTAAGATTTAAAGAGTGAACTATATACGTTTTGTTTGAATTGTACTTATTTTCAAACAAAACAATCACAAATAAAAATATAAGACTTTCCCCTGAAAACTGTGCGTTGAAAAATAAAAAAAGTAGTGCATCGTACGTCAAAATAATATCAGACATTTTGTAAAATTTTTGATGTAATGACTGGAATTAATATGTACTATTATATTTAAATATTTTAATTTATGTAATTTCATATAATTCACATGTAATTATATATTATAGACTGAAATATATTATTCATTATTGTTGAACTTATTTATACATATGGCAGTTAGTTATTTCATCCTTCAATTACATGAACTACAGCCCTCGTTTATATGAATAACTCATTTTAAACAGAATTACAAAGGGCTCACTGTCTTTTGAACTGTTAATATACTATGCATCTCTGTCATGTTATTTTATTCAGGTAAAGAATTTAATATATTGCGAAATAGTGTGCTCGATTTCCAGAGAATCAATAGTTTGCCAATAATTAATTTAAACTTATGCATGAACAGTTGTGCGGCTATTCAGAATGTTAAATTAGATGAAATTATTTGGCTCCAATTACCTGTGCAAATTAAATATGCACACATTTTCTGTAGTGCTCTTTGCGAGCATTTAATTTAATTTATATGTAAGCTGACCTAATAATTGAATTTTGAAAAACAAGTTTTTTTCAATAAAATGTATACTTAATATCAATCATCCAAATCACATTTAAAATTCCTCAATTATTTCTTTCTACTACCACAAATCATTATCAAATAATATGTTTTTCAATGTACTGTGAGAAAAAAAAATATTGTTAAAATTACCAAAATATGGCAAAATTTTTATCTTATCGGGCTCTAAGGAAACACCAGAAAGCTCTGTAATTTTTATCGAAGCACTTTGTTAATGATTATGGTAAAATTAACTACAAAATATAGTTTTATAACATTAAATAAAGTTTGGTAAATGTGGTAAAATTTGCGCAATTTTATCATGATACCTTATAGCAGTGGTAACCAAATGGTTCTTTGCAAAATTCCAAGGCTCCATAGAAGAGTTAAAAGTTCCGCAAGTTAATACTCTTTATAATCAAGGATGAGTTTTGAAACCTATGATTATATTAAGATACAGCCTATAATCCAATAATTTATTTAATCTATCGGTTACCTTTATGAAATTATTTCACGTAAAATGCCAATGAAATTGAAATGTAGAAAATTAGAGGAAAAAGAGATTTCTAATAAAAATTTATTGAAAAAAGAAAGATGAATAGAACAAGCAATTTTAAAACAATGAATTAGTATTTCTCTCACGCTTTTCAAATGAAAATAAATTAACTAAATTTTTAAATAAATAAAAAATTTTCCTTCATTACAATTTTCAACACTTATGATAGTTTTTTTTAAGTTTTATTTCAGATTAGACCATAATTCGGCTTATTTTATTCATTTTCAATTATATACACCAAGAGCAAAATCATAACTAGATTAGAAAAAGCACAAGAATTACATATTTAATAGTCGGATGTAAACTTAATTTTACATTAATGATAAAATGATTCCTCTAATTAAATATTTTTAGAATATTCTTCTATTGGTTATAATGCTCACAATTACCTTAATAAAGTTTATTTCGATGAAAGAAGGTTGATTATTTAGGGTTCTGTAGTCGAAAAAGTTGGGAAACGCTACCTTAGGGTACGTGATAAAAACCTTTTATTTAGTTAAATTTGCTTTTCTAATTTGTATTTGTTTACTAAATGTATGACAATAACAGCTAGAGTTTTGAAAACCAGAATTTAAGGTACACCGTAACCATATGAACGGAAAAATTATCAAATGAAATTTTTAAACAGCGTATATTTTGATTTTGTTACCAGAATTATGGTTCTTTTTACCAGAGATGTCGTGACCATAAAGTGCGGTAATTTTAACAGATTTTTCCTACTCTGTGTATTTATATTTTATTTAGCTGCTCGAATAAATGCATTATTATTTTCGAAGTTTTAAAGTCACAAATTGTTTTCTCTAATATGTTTGAATGCTCGTTTAAATGTTTAAATAAATCCACTCAAATTCTGTATAAGATAACTTCGGCTTTTAAATTTACCAAAAATACGATTATTCAAAGTTATCATTGATAAATTGATTAGTGAGCATTGATAAATTTGATTATCTATAAAATGGAAACACTCTGATAAACTTAATTACTTTCAAAGCGTTAATCTAAAATGAATGGTAATGAAACTTATCGTAAAATGGTAGTGCAATGATATACATTCTAAATTTATATAAAAACTGTAATCTAAAGTGTAAATTTACTAAGTTATATAGAAGACATATATTTTGATTTACACAAGGGAAACAAGTTATAAATTACCAAAATAGTGTTGATTCAAATTTAAAAATACTATTGCTATCAGCGTATCTTAAATTGATTTGTTGAAAATTTGGAGTATTATAATTAATAATATTTAACGGAATTGAGGAAATATTTCTAAATTATATTATTGTAAATGAACTGCTTACCATAAAATGAATAAAAGAATTTCTAAACTGTAGGTTACTCAGAAGATATTCATTTTGATTTATTCAAAAGAAACAATTTATAAAAAATCTAAATCAAACAGAATGCTTCAAATTTAAAAATACATTTGTCCTCAGTGTATCTTAAGGTACTTTCAGAAACATTTGGAGTATTTTAATTAAATATATTTAAATGAGTTAGGAATACATTTCTCAATAATATCATTGTAAATAAAAGCCTAGCACCAATGAATAAAAAAACTCTTCCCAAATTTGTATTTTTTTTATTTCGACAAAGTTTATGACGAAATTGTCAATGATCTTTAAAAAATTTAAATACGTAATGAGTTGCCTCGTTTACTTAAAATTTCGAACTGATTTCATTTTTAAACTCCATAGAGATATTTTCACAAAAATAAATACATGTATTTATTATCAACATAACTCTAAATTAATAGGGGTTGTTTCTTTTTTTTTAATTTTCAGCTTTTTACAAATACACACCAGTGCTATTATTTATTAAAACTAAGTAAAATGTAGTATGTACATATGGAAGCACGCATTTGTAGAAAAGAAACTTTTATTCACCTCATGGGAAATTAGTTTCTGAAAAGTGAATAATAAATTTAAAGCGCTGACTTAAAATAAAATAGTTTAAAGCTACATTAAAGCATGTTTGTCTTTCTACATGAAGATTTTATAAGCTGAAAGGATAGATCATCAGAATTTTTTAAAACGAGTTCTTAACTAGGAAAGAAAAATATTATTTTTTTTTAACTAAATTGAGTTTTGAAATTTTAACAGCAATAGTAAAGGAGCATAAGCACACAATAGGGTATATATTTAAGAAAATCTCTCTTGGATCTTGTATAAAAAATTCAAAAATAGGACGGTAACTGGAAATTATTTTAAAGCGCTGCAAATTAACGTGTATGAAACACGCTAAAAATTTCAGAGCGTGCACTCGAAGAAATAAGTCTCCCTTTTGACGATTCAGCAATCCTTGACCTGTATTTAATTATTTTTGAGAAATTCGTCGCGAAATCACGAGATTTTTTAAGTAAGACGAGATCTCAAATATGGGATGAAAATGTTTCTTTATCTCGGAACTGCATCGCGGTGACTTGTGGATAATTGTGAACTAGAATACCGAAACTAGATTGACGAAAATAGAGTAACAAAACAATACGACGATCTGTATGGTTACCAAGAAGCTGTCCTCGTACCAGAAGGATCCTGTATTCGAATCCCGTATCGGGCATGTGACTAATTTAATTCTCTGTTCAATCTGTCCTTCTTGTTTTGATTGGGTGACATAGATATACATACTTAGTGTCCACGATAAAAAGATTATAAGAAAAGCTTACATTAGGTGCTACGAGATTATTTTTCTTTTCTTCTTTTTGTGTATCTGCAAAAAATAAAATGACGCATTTTTTTTGGAATGCATAATATTTTGACGAAATCTGCTTCCTTGAAGAAGTAACATGATACTATGGTTCACCTGAGCGGATAGAATTGTTAAGAAAATTATAATGAAATGTTTTAAAGCAAATGCTTAACTAGGAGTGACTTTAAAAATGTATTGCATTTCTTTTTACTAAAATGAATTTCAAAATTTCAAATGTAATATGCAAGAAACATATAAACTTAATTACATGAGAAAACATCCAATTAAAGTTTCACACATGAATAGCACATTTGAAAAACACGAATTAACCTCTAATGAAACTTTATAAAACTTTTAATGCTTGAAATTACGTGGCGTGAACAAAAGGTATTTGAAATGTTTGTACATTGACATATAAGTGTTCTCTAATAAACATGTATATATATATAATCAATGTCATTGGCAATTATGTTAATAAATAACATTATCTGATGCATACAAAAGGAAATTTATGCATCAATAATTATATGGAATTGTATGAATCAAAAGTAATTGAAAACCATATGTAAAATAACGATATTTGAATTTTCTTAAACTAGAATCTACCCATCTCCGAAACGGATAAGTATTGTACTTATCGGAAACCTCAACAAGAGAAAATTCCTTATTAAAGGAAGAATTTTTTTCTGCTGGTTTTTCATTCTTACTCTGTTGTGTTGTATCCTTTTTAAGTTCAGTAAAATTTTTACTTTGCATATTCAGAGTCAGATAAGGAAAGTACAAAATTATATGGTGGTATGAGTTGCCTTTTAAGATATTCTCCTATGAGTGACACATAAATAATCAATTCCGTAATTTATTATAGATTATTCGGTAACACACGATAAAGAATTGATAGAATTGATAAAGACAAATTAAAAAATAACTTTAAAAAGAAAGTAGCATCATGCAAATGGCGAAATATTGCTAAATACTACAGCTTTGCCCCATCTTTGTTAAATAAATCTGTACACCAAATGAAAATAATCATGTGTTTATTCAGTCAAATGTCGTTTTTTAAACTGAAATAATTGAGAACGAAAATTTTTTAATCATTAATCAAATTAATTCCGTATCATAAAACGGTGTAATTATTAAACCATTAGTTATCACTTATTTTTTTTTCTATTTGCCATTTTTCAAATTTTATTTTCAAATATTTTTGCGGTCAAATGATTGCCTTGTAGCGTGTATTGACATTTTTTTCAGAATATAATAGCATTTGTGTAAGATAGAAATCCAGACTTTGAGACTAATGCTGACTTTGAACTTACTGTACTAATTTTTTTTTAATTTTTCCTATTGTTTTTATTTTAAATGGTTTAGAAAAATATGCATATTTTATTTTTGTTTGAAAAAAAGACTATGATATTTATAAAATAAAATGTAACTTGTTTCCACTATGCACCACTGATTACATGGAATTATTTTTGCTATGTAAATCTCCATATAATTGTTTTGAACAATTGTGTATGATTTATGTATGCTCAATCTCTTACCAGGTACGTCTTAAGAGAACACGTACACCAAGGAGGTTTAAGATCTCAACTGTCTATTCCAGCCGTTCTCAGATCAGACTCAGGTTTATTTTCATGTGAAGCTAGCAATGATTATGGAAGAGAAGAAAAAAGTATTCAACTGATTGTTCAAGGTAGAATATAAATAATTCTCTCAGGTCTAAGTAAAATATCTAAAATCTATGGGCATTTATCTTACGTTTTAAATTTGTTTTCTTTTTACTAAAACACAATAGCTCAAGCTATACAAAGAGGAATACAAATAACCTGGACGTGCTTATTTTAAATTAAACTGACGAAACTTTTCAGACCGCTATATCATAATATTGTTTAAATCTGCTGAAATTTAATAGGGCCTATCGTATTTATGAAACTTGATTACACTATATTATGATACAACTTGAATAAAAGCATTTTTCAGTTTAACATCTCATTAAGGTTTCAACTAATAATATTGTTTAAAAGTTTCTGCAACCTTAATAGGGGCTATCATGAGCTTGATTACACGATGTTATGCTTCAACTTGAGAAATAAAAGCATTTTTCAATTTATCACCTCATTACAGTTTCGAAAAAAAATTTATCCGCTTTCTAGGTTAAGTTAATGATTTTGTTGTACAACGTTGCCAAGAGTTATCTGATAGTGTATTGGAAAAAAAATTCTAGTTGTAAATATTTTAGAGAAATTGTCTTGTAAAATCTGCATATATATTTTAAAGTGTAGTTATCATAGCTTTCAAAGACAATATCCTCAATTTTTTATTGATGTATTTTTTATCTTCCCAAAATGAAATTAAATAAATTTGGTCAGACAAAATCTGTATTCACCAAAATTATGAATAAAATTGAACGCTCCGTCCCGATATTCCTAAAACAGAAATTTTGAAAACATTATATTTCTTTTTAGAGTATTAAGAACCTATAATAAGTTATATAATCCATAATAAAACAAAATTTTATTTACATATTCATGAAAAAACTGTGATCATAATTTTCTGATATTATTAAACGTTTTTTTAAGCTGTAGTGTTTTCAAAAAAGAGAGAGGTTTGCAATTACCTTCGCTAATTTTCGGTCTAGACATATAACTTATGTATGTAATTTGCTTTGATTCTGATGATTCAAAATGTGCCCACCATTTTGACAGATTGAATGTGAGCAAGAAAAAACTTATATGATGTATAAAAATAAAACTTATATGAGGTATTTTCCTCGAGCTATGAACCTCATATAAATAAAAATATACCGTTAGAGGAAAAGATATTTCTAAATTTAGAATATCAGTATTTTCCTATATCTTCTCACCTTTTTATATAAACCTACATACGTATGACATTTTTATTATTCATTGAATAAATTTCTTCAGAAATTACATATTTTTCCTCCTCAATACAGGTATTATTTTTCCCTTTTTTATTTCAAAAATGATAATACTAATAAATAAAAAGAATAAAAGTATTTATTTTTAGATTTTTTATTTTATGTTTCTAAATTTTATGATTCGTGTATTCATTTGTATTCTGGATTCATTTTTTCACTTTCTTTTTCTATTGCCAATCAAAAAAAAATCAATAATTGACTAACAAAATATAGAATAATCTAATAAAGTAATAGAATAATCTTATTCACAAAACATTATAATCACAAATACATTTAAGTTTCTTTTTTTATTATTTTTTTAAAAAAACTTTATTAAAAATAATTGTTTTAGCACCTGCTTGATTTAATTATAGTGCGCATATATATTTCCAGTGTTTACAAATATTTCTAACTAATTAAGCTAAGTTACTAAGTAAACATTCTGAATATTGAAAAAAATTCAATTGCTTCATTTAATTTTTTGGCAAAAATTAGTTTTTATGAAAGAGAGTTCGTTGAATTTCATTATAGTATCCTTTTCAAATTTACAATAGACCAAAATAAATTAAAGAATTATTCTAAATGAATTTTTATTAACACTTGTTAAGACATCATTTCCTAGAATGTGTGTTAATAAATCTCCTTGTGTTTCTTCTCAAATTTTTTGTTCTTCTATATACAGGGGTTGGACAAAATAATGGAGACAATACGAGATTTTCTGATTTTTCTCAAAAAATACTCAGAAAATCATTTTATACATTAAGAAGTGTTTAGATTATGCGATTTCTCATATTTATTAAATAATTTTAAAGCTTTTAGAGGTTTGAGGGACCAACAAAAAATTACAAGCGAAAAAAATAGTGTTTTTAAGCACCATTTGCCAAAAAATGTAACAATAAATTCATAACTTTAGTCAATTATTTTGCTTATTATTTGCAATAACCGCAAAAATTCTGTAAACCAGCTTAAATATTTATGGAGATATGGACATTTGTTTAAAAAAAAAATTTTTATTTCATTTTTTTTTTATTTACTATTTATTTTTTTTGCTATAAATTTCAAAATATTCGATTGCATTGAGCAAAATGAGAGGAGCAATTTAAATTTAATTACAAAATTATTGCTGTAAAATTTTTAAAAAAAAGGAATGCGCAAGTATGAATAATTAAAGTAGCTCTCTTATACTGCGCATGCGCAGAAAAAAAAGCATTATTTTTTTCTCAATTTTGTAGTAAATCACATTTGGCAACAAAAAAAAATCCAATTTAAATAACTTAAAAATTTAAAAAGTTTCAAGCAATGTAGCAATGTTCTAAGCAGTTTTCATACTTCAAAGAAAGATATGATAAGGGGTTTCTGAATTCCATTTTGTACTCCTAAACAATATCGATTAAAAATTATACTAACATTCTTAGGGATCATACCCCATTAAATATTTCTTCTTTTGCAAGTTTTGTTTCCTTTCACAATTACCTTTTGGTGCATAAACGTTCATTGTAAGGTATTATCATTTGTTAATTGCTACAGTTTTTGGCATGTTAATTGCTACACAAATTTATTGCTACAGTTTTTGACATAGAGTGTTCAAAAACCCTATTTTCTGTTTGTAATTTATTGTCGATTCCTCAAACCTCTGAAAGCTTTAAACATTATTGATATGCATGAGAAATCGAAAGAATTAAACATTTCTGAAATAATAAAAAAACTGGATCTAACTATGATAAAAAGTACCGATGCTTAAGGCTCCGGTAATTTTTACTGTAAAATTCACTTTTATCAAGACATGTTACGAAACAAAAAAAATATGATATACCGTGAATTTTACAGTAATAATCACCGTAAAATCAACAAATTGCTTTAATTAAATAATCATTGCTATAAAAATTACTGCATAATATTTTACAGTAAAAATGGGTTTTATAGTAAAATATATTTTACGGATGTGTACCCAAAGTGCCGGTACTTTATACTGTAATTTAATCCGGGACTTTTTTACGATATGAATAGATACACTCTTCATAACCCAGATGTCTTCAAAATCCAGCAAATATTATTCTTATTAGTTAATTTAACCATATCTAATATATTTTATATCAAACTGGGAAAATAAAACCCCTCAAACTGGGAACCCCTATGAAAGTTCTTTTTGCCCCTTGCTTTCACTTTAATTATTGCTAAGAACTTTCTTTCGCTATATTTCGCTATTTGTATCATACTGTTGAAACGTAGGCTTAATATTGAATTCCTACAATATAAATTTACCTATGGAATATTAATCAGAATCGAAATAATCTTAATAATATCCAATTCTTGGAGACACATTTTAAAATTATTTTTATTTACTTTTACTAATATTTATTTTTAACGTATTTCAAAATCGTTGAATACTTTTAGAGCTGATTAAGTTATACTTCAATGCAAAGAAAACATTGGCATTATTTTGCTATTGAAGCGAAATTTAATAAAGCAAAAATTGTTTTATGATATACATATATTATATATGCTATTACTACTAACATAAGCGCTATGTTGCTGCATTTAATCGTGCAAAAATTACAAAGATAACTATTTCCTGAATTCCGAAAATCAAATTTATGGATGAAATATAACAAATGTCTTACAGATCTTTTGAAATATTTATTAAGACATGGTTCACAACCCAAATTTGAATAGCGTGCATAGATACAATCTTCATGTTCGAGATATCTTCAGAAAAGTATCTATGCTTTCCATCCAGCCAATATTCTCCTTATTAGTTAATTTAGCCATATCTAATATACTTTGCATCAAATCGAGGAAATAACGAATTCTCTAATCAAAGTTCCCTTTGCCTCTTGATTACACTTTAATAATCACCACGAACTTTCTCTGGAGTTCGAGAAAAAGGATTCGTGTTGTACTGTTGCACGTAAACCACCCCCGCACCTAACTATACCTCCCTCTCCTTTCACATGGCCGTTAAATACATTCTGCACCCCCCTTTAACGACGGAATAATCAATGCCTCTCAGTAATTTAGCTAAACGAGGGGTCCAGAGGAAGGGACTAAAAGAGGACTGACTCCAATCTCGTTAAGACTCTTCTGTTAACACTTTTTCTATCTTCTTCTCTCTTGTCTTCTATCTCTAACGACCTCCCCCCCATTTGGGGGACATCTTTTCCAGCGCCCCCCGAGACCCCTGAAGGTATCCAGCTGCTCCAAGTCACCAGCCGTCAAATTACGTTCTCTTGGACAGCGCCATCTAGCGGGAATAGCCCCATTACCGGTTACATCATCGTTTATAATCAAAGTAGTAGTAAGTATCTTTAATTTATTCTATATTTAACGAGGTAGAAATTCTTTTATTTTTCGAAAAAATGGAAATTGGAGGTTTTAATGTTCTCATATCATCTTAGTGCATTGTCTGAATAATTAAATCGTTCTAAATGCATTGCCTTAAGAGCTCATTCTAAAGATGCGGATATTTGCTTTTAATTCTCATTATTTCTTTTGATGCACCGACTCTTCAAAAGGTATTTAATTACTTAATTAGGAAGCGAGAAAGGAATTTATTTCTCATTTTTCAATTTAATGGCCGCATCAAAGTAATTTCAAATAGAAATATCATAAATTAGTAACTGAAATTGAATATTATTCCTGTGTAAATATAATCAGAGCAAGCTATTTGTTGACGTTAAAAGGCTTTTAACGTTCGAATTTAAAGATTACGAGTTTATTTTAATGAAACTAAACATGACAAAAGTTAGCTAATTTACATATTTTACTCGCGATTGATATTTAAATGTATCTTTCTAATCATAATGAACTCATTTTCTTAGCAATACGCACATTGTAAAACGTGGGGGGAGAGGGGCTTTAAATTCATGAATTCATTATCATGACCGGAATCTACAACTAATATTAAATTACTTACGTTTACGCAACAGTTATTGCAAAAAAAAAATAATAATAATAAAAATATTATTTATTACTAAAATCTTACATTTAGAGAAAATTCGTAAAGTAAGTTCTCCAACTTCAAACTTTAAAGAAGCTTTTGTTATTTGAAACAAAATTAGTTATAACATGTTTCATGAAGTAAAATCATTAAAGTGTAAGATAAATACTAATTTTTTGACAAATAGCCAGATTTAATAGACGTCTATAGCTTAATCCTCTTGATTCTTTATTGAAACTTTTTGCGATTGATAAAGCTTACTAATTTGATTTTATAAATGAATAACACTTTAATGAAATGTTGTAATATACATTGCCATGTAAAAATGGGCATAACATGTTACCTCTAATTTTATAATATATTTTTTATTCAAATCTCTTCAATGAATATAATTTTTGAAAAATATTTTTCTTAGTAACTTTGACATGAGAACGGAAGGAAATTCTATAATTTAGAAATTCTATTTTCGTCTGATTAGCGCATTTATGTAAAACTTAAAAAAGATGACATGGTCGCTGCAATGTTTTTGATTTTATAAATTATCATTATAATTTCTCATAATCTTTGCTAGATTTTTTTTTTTAATAATTTGATACAAATAGTATTTCCTTACAACTAAGGATCTCATGATTGTTATTTCAAAAATAAATAGTTGCATTTTATTAGTACGTGTCTACATATGTTCTTCATGTTATGTTATATTTTATTGTTTTTATGGAAAACATCCACCAATAATAAAAAATTATCTCTGCTAAATATTATTCTTTATCAATCATATTTGTAATTCATTGCTTGTTTTTTCATCAGAATTCAATGAAGATTTCTTAGAAATTTATTGATTTCAGAAAACTTAACTATAATATCTATTCGCACCTACCGATCTCGAAATAACAACTTCTCTTCTTCTCTAAGTAATCATTTTAGATAATTAATTAAGAACTTTAGCCATTTAAATTGCTGGGTTGGTGGCAATGTAAGAAATTTATTTCAAATTTTAATTCTGTTTTAACTGTTGGAGTAACATTCCGCTAATAAATCAGTGAAATTATTTTTTCTTTATTTTTTAACATTAATGTTGGTACTAAAAATACTTAAATTTCGTATCTTATTTTTTTTGTATTTAACTATATTAACTATATTATCAGTGTTCAAGTCCAGGAATAATTTAAGTATGTATTTATTTATTTTTTAATGAAAACAATTCATACTGCTTCGTATAAAACTTTAATATACGTTATAGCGATTCAAAAATGTTAATCTTGTAAGCAACATTATCAGAATTAATCTTGAGAAACTATTTCTTTTAAACCCAAAACGCAGTTCTTAATCAATTTTTACATGATTATAATTGTCTTATTAAACTAAGAGAGCACTTACATCATAATAATTGTCTTTTTAAACTAAAAGAGAACTTACAACATTATAATTGTCTTATTAGGAATTTATTCGGATCTTATGGAAGCACCTCTTCTTTGCTTTTTTTTTTCCGAATCTAAATCACTAATGTAGGTATTACCTTAATCAAATTACTATCAAATTGAGTTACGTATTCCTTTTTACTTAATTGAATTACCTTAAGACCTTACAGAGGGGAAAAAAGGGGTTATAATGTTCTGGGCACTGTTCGCAAAATAAAGCAATAGGATTTTCTGTCGTATAATTAATTTTTAACTATCGCCAGGGAAATATTCCAAGGTTTCTTTCGTATTCTAACTCTTCATACCTAGGAGATAAAGTTTTCCCGTAAATCGAAAATGTTATAAAAGTTTTATCTTTTTTTATTTTCTTTTATCTTGAGAATAATGGAGAAAAATCGATTCTCTCTTCCAAAAAGAAATGTAACGAAGCATACAAAGCACGTTCTTAGAACGATGTGCACTGATTTTATATTAGAAACTTGGTGTTCTCGAAGGGATTTAAGAAAAATAAGACTTCCTCAGTCCTTAAAAACCTGGGGGAATTAAAAGTAGTGTGAAATTTCCAAGTATGAGATGAAATTTATAATCTCATATGTGACTTAAATTTATTTAGCTCAATTTACGCAAAGTTAATAAAACAGTTTTATAACAAGAAAAATGATTTTAAAATATTCGGAACGGAAAGTTTTGTAAAAAAAAAGTTAAGAATAAATTTAAAAGCCTGAAATCTTTCTTTCAAGGGTAAGTCATGCAAACGATTTAGACACTCGTTCTTTCTAAGGAAAAATAACTCATGCAAACGATATAGAATTGAAAAATAAATAAAGTTTAGAAATAACTCAGGCAATATATTAATAAATCTATTTTAGGAAATATTTGAACTTGAAAAAACAGAAACTCTCGCATAATGATATTTTTAGCTTATGAAATGTTTTATAAAAGTTATAGATTCGAATAAATATTTTGCTTGAGTATTCCTGGACTTGTTTAAAATCGTTTGTAAATTACTGGTTACATTCGTTTATAAAAACTGATTAATAAATTTTTTGCTTGCGTTTTATCATTTGAAAAATGCTTTTAGAATTAATATTTGTTTCCATGCATGAGTACAAATTTCACGATGATAAAATAAAAATTCAAATGATCTAGTCTCATCTCCTTAGTGTTTTATGAATTACATGGGCATACAAAACTTTTTCCATATAGCATAAAAGCTTAATGGCACAAAACTGTATTTTTCATCATTGTTGTCAACTCTTTCTTACTAGCTAGGAAATCATATAGTAAGATCCAGCGTTCTCGTACGAAGATCAATATTTATTTGGTTGTAACAAGCATTAAACTAATAGGTAGTGTTAATATGTAATATATTTATAATCCCTTCTTGAAAAATAGTTACCTGTTGTATTCAACTATTATTAATTCTTAGAATGAGCGTATGCTAATATTACGTTTTTATTTCATATTAATACTCGAGTTTTAAGTTTTATAATTAAGAAAATGGATTTTTCGTTATAAAATAATTTTTATTACACAACATTTTATTATAAACATATTTAATTCGGTGTCTAAACTTATTAGAATTATTTTAATTACGAAACACACACAGTAAGTAATTAAAATAATTATTGACTTTTACTAACTTATTAACTTTTATCATAAGCTTTATGTAAATATTTTAAACTGTGTGCAACCAACTTAACCAATAAAAACGCAATATCTTTTTGGAAAAGAAAGGAGAAAAAAAAAACATTTGATGAGCTTGCGTAGTTATCAAAATTTAATTAAAAATTTAAAATATGTTTACACATATATTGTGGACTTTTTAATGGAATAGTTAGATACAAATTAATTTTTGTCAAGAAAAAAAAAATAATTCTTGCATAGATGGGGGATGGTGAGATGTCTGGGGGATAAACCCTTTAGTGGTATGAAAATTACATACATATGAAAAATAAAAATAGTCCAACACATCAAATCAAAACCGTTTGAAATGATTTGGACTTCAATATAAGAAAGTAAGGAAAATCATTCTTTAGGTTTTGCCTGAATATGACAAATTAGTTTTTTAAGTTTTTTCTTTCTCTGCCTTCGCATTTACGTTAATAAATTTGTTCAAAATTCCATTCGAATGGTAGATGAGCCATTTATAAAAAATAAAATGAATATTATTCATTGAAAAGAAATCTTTCTTATGAAACTGAACTACAATCGGAGAAAATAAATCTGAATTAAAAAATTTGGGATTGAATTTCAAAAATTCAGAAATTTTATAGCATAGCTTAGAAGCGGCCATAGATTCATCTTATGATATATGCAGCATCATAAAAACAGTTGAAAACGTNTGAATATTATTCATTGAAAAAGAAATATTTCTTATGAAACTGAACTACCACTTATGAACTACCCGTAAACTGAACGAAATGACAAGTTTTAACTTTTATCCCAATCCAAATCGGAGAAAATAAATCTGAATTAAAACATTTGGGATTGAATTTCAAAAATTCAGAAATTTTATAGCATAGCTTAGAAGCGGCCATAGATTCATCTTATGATATATGCAGCATCATAAAAACAGTTGAAAACGTGAATAATTTTCAGGGGATTCTCAATAAAAAAATTAAACAAATTTTTTTTTCATTACTTCGGCGTTTGTTTGACATTTATTCGTACTTCAGATTTATGTCAGATTTAATTGCTACTGAAAAAGTAATCATAGTGCTTGTCCTTTATTATATTTAGATAAATCAACCTGTCAAACTTTTATAACATACGTAAACGAGAATTCATGCTCATTTGATATAGATTTAGTTATTGTGAGCATTTTTATTATGGGTAAAAATAGTTCTGAAAGCTGAAATTCCAATTTAATACGCCTTACAGATCACCAGAGTCAAGCATCTCTAGAAGCTGTCAGTGAGCAGGTTGGTAATCACTTTGATCATCCTGCGAAAGGACCGAAGGTGCATGGTATCAGACCTAGTTACACTGCTCTGCCGTAAAACGTTTGACTTCGTGCTCAAGTCGTCGGGCTACCTAAGAGGGGGACGCATTCTCTTTGGAGAGGAATAAAACAATAATGGCGTACCTTCGGTTCATTTTCAAATAATTTTTAGAACATCGCCAATAGCCCATTGTGCTACTCAAGATTGTTGTATACAATTTGCTTTTACTTCCACTCAATTTAAATATGGTTGCTATATAATGCTTTGTCAGTTCCACAAACGGGCAAATTTGGGAGGAAAAAATTATAAATATTATTTATTCAGAAATATTTTTCAAATATTTCTGAAACTTGAACTTAATTTTAAATGCGACCTACATATCATCGCAAATCACCAAAGCCAACATTTTTACAGATATTATTTTTCAAATAGCCACCATATTATTTTTCAAATAGTTCTGAAACCTGAAATTCCAATTAAATATGTCCCACAGATCAGCATCACCGGCAGTGGTCAGTGAACTGATGGGTGATCCCTTTAATTAGCCTGCGAAGAGACCGTAGGTGCAACGGTCCTTGTGAAACTGTTCGATTTCGCGCACAGATCTTCGGGCTACCACAGTGGGACAGCTACCCTCTTTAGAGAAATATAACTGGGATGGCATATCTTCGTATCATCTTCAGAGAATTTTTCCAGACCGTCGCCAATAGTCCTTTGCACAGCTTTAGTGCGACGTATGTAAATTACTACTACTACTAAATTTAAACCTGATTCGTTCAATGTTTTGGCAGTTTCACTAAAAAGACAAATTTTTGGAGGATATTTCTCTTCTAAGCACTGTTTAAAATATGGGGAAAGTCATTTTTTCATTACGATGTAACTTACTCCTCAAATTATAACTTTCTACATGCATGGCTGTTAGAGGATTGAAATAAAACAATAAGAATAAGCTCACTCTCGTATTCTTATGAAGATGAGAAACTGTTTATCAGTTTTAATGTACTTGAATTTTTCTATATTTTATTTCTTTTCTGTCCTGATTTCTTTGAATCACTGATTTCTTTTTAATTTAAAGCGGTTGTAATTAAATTGTGCGCTTGCCGTAAAGAATTAAGATTTCATACGTTACTCTGCTAATCAGTTCTTTTTTAATTTATTTTTACACTTTATTAAGCAAACAATAAGGGAATACAATAGTAGAACAATTAAGTTGAACGACATCATTGCTCAACTAGACTATAAATATGTAACAATCAAAAAAATGTTAAGGGTATTGAAAAACAAATCACAATATTGGTTTTTGAAGTATTCTGCCCATTGATATTCTATTTGTTAATGTTTTTCTTTAAATTCAAAGCGACTTTTTAAAAAAGGGGGAAAAAACGATTGTATAAAAAGTATTCAACCCCTTATATTTTTTACTAGAAGCATGAATAAATCCATAAATCAATCAGTGCACAAATCCGATTTTTTTTTTTTTTTTTTTTTTTTTTTTTTTTTTTTTTTTTTTTTTTTTTTTNTTTTTTTTTTTTTTTTTTTTTTTTTTTTTTTTTTTGTTAAGTCTACTTGACATATTCCGGCCTTTAACAAAACACACTAGAGAGGAAAAAGTCTTAAGTATTGATCCAATCTAAAGAATTGTGTAACTATAAAAATAAACTTGGACGTAATGGAAACAAAAAAGAAAGAATAAAACGCTACTTCAACAATTCAACCATCAAAGGCATGAATAAAAAATTCAAGTAATCGGAAAATGTAAACAATTGTAAAAAATAATACTAATTCCTTATGTAGCAAAAGTAAAAGAAAATACTTGCTCATAGCGCCATCTTTGTTCATTATAAGTAGATAAAATCGCTTTAAGATTGTTCTAAACGTGTAGCAATGCTAGAGGATTTTATAAAAAAATTCATATAAATGAAATGAAGAAAATTAAATATTTTGCAACTTCGAAAAAAGAAGAAAAAACAAAGCATTAGTTTCTTAAAAAATATTAAACTGTAAATTGATTTAAGGAAAACTCTTATCAAGTTATAGTGCTGCCATCTAACATCTTTTAAAGGAGCAAAAGATAAGAGTAAGTTTTCCGAAATCTGTTGCCCCTTTTTCATTTGCTTCAAATTTAAAATGTTAATAAAAAATGGTATAAAAAAATAAAATATTTAAATTATTAGAAAATTTATTACAAAGATAAAACTTTTTTTTTAATGTTCTCTACATTTAAATATAATAGTATTAACATAATCTTACAGTGCAAATAAATATTTAATATCAATTGTTGTTATGAATTAGTATTTCCTAATTATAATCTGAATGTTACAGAATTCATAAATTTTACATTAAATAGTATGTAATTTTCTATATTTGTTTCGCCTTACACAATATGTCTTTAGTGTTTTTTTTTTTTTTTTTTTTTTTTTTTTTTTTTTTTTTNCTCTAATATTCCATTTGCTTCTTTAGTGATAAGGTGGCTTTAATTAACGTAATTTCCATAATTTATTAAAAATATTCATTAAAAATGTATAAAATTATTATCATATATTAAAAATGTATATTCATTAAAATATGAAACAGGATCAAAACGGGAAGAAAAAAATAAAATGAAAAGATAAAAGTTCATTAAAATTAAATTAATTGAAAATTAATGAGTTTTATAAATTAAGTTTTCTCCATGAACTTGACCATAATTGTAATTGTTGAAACTGTTTTAAAAATTGCACAAATCGATATTTTTCAAAATTTAGATAATAAAGCAAGCGTTATTAAAATCATTTTAGTAGTTATTTCCATAATTTAGAAATATTTAGATACATTCTTGTTTACACTTGTCATTTTTCGCTTATTTTGTATTAATTTATTATTTTAAAAACATAAAATTAAGAAAAAAAGTATAATAAACTTAAATTTAACTAGTGATTCATGTTTGAAGAAATTATGTAGTAACATTAAATTAATTGCACATAGATTGCAGTGGACTTTTCTGAATTAATCTATGTACTTGTTGGTACCAATAAATTGCTTGTATATTTAAAATATATATATAAATATATTTGATTATATTAATAGAAATTGTAAGTAGACAAAAATCAGCTTCTATGAGACTTAAGGAAGAAATTTTAGTAATTATTGCTTTAATTTTATTGTAAAATTTTGAGATTGAATATGATTTTTGATAGTACGAGTATAAATTTTATACGAGGTGAAAGCGCTAAAATAATCTACAGTTTCTTTTGTAGAAACTGATTATATTCATAGAGAGATATAATTTGCCTAAGATGAGTATCTGTGTAAGTGTTGAAGAGGATATTTTAGGAAAAATTTTAATTCTTAATTAATCACCTTTCTAGATTTATGATGGTTTTTCATAATTCATTTTTATGCTATATCACAGCACTAAAATAATCTATAATTTCTTTTCTGAAAACAGAAGCCAAAGACGAAGGCTTGGAAACAGTTCGAGTATCTGCAAGTGAAACGAAGGTTACAATAACAGGCTTGAATCCAGGCACAACATATTTTTTTCGAGTTCATGCTGAAAACATTCTTGGTCGTAGTAACCCCAGTCCAGAACTTATTGCTGCAACAGAAGAGGAAGGTAATTATGTTTAGACTATTGTAGAGATGCGTAGTCTCATATAGTTCTCTAGTTTTTTTTTTTGGATTCACAACATCTGTAAATGGTATGATTAGCGAAAATATTTCGGAAAATTTACTTTTTGAATTAATTCAAAATTATTTCTCCTGCCTACGAATTTGAAGAAAAATGTAATTTCAATTACAAATATCTTACCTCTTTTATTTTAAAAAAAAATGGAGGAGAAAATAAGATTGAACTTTTTTGTATCGATATAAAATACTGTAACTCATACGTCTGGTTAACAATCTAAGTATGAAATATAAAAAAAATATATATATAAATCTTCAAATTTTCCATCATTTAAAAATAAAAATATAATTAAAAAAAATTTTTTTTTTTCAATTATAAAGCATAAGTTGACTAACGTTTCCGCAATAAGGGGAAAATATCTGAATTAAAAATGTGCATTTTATTTAATGAAAAATCTTATGTCAAACTAAACAGTTGCAATTTTAATAAATAGATGGCAGCACCATACATAGAGTAAAGATGTGCAAATTTTTATAAAAGCTTTTATATCAATAGGCGACCACTCGAAATGCATCTCTCAGTATTTCTCGGAAAATCAGGATTTGGGAATTAAAATATTTTCGGGACAAAATAAGTATTTTTTTTTCTTGTGAATATATTTCAATATTTTAATGGTAAAAGCTACACACTAATGTTATTTACTAAACGTGACATTTAATTTTATGTGCTTCGCTATTTATTTTTTTAAATACAAATTTTAAAATGGAAAGTTGATCAGACTTTTCACGATAATATTGTTATTTTCCGTACTTGATAATTCTTTTTGTTTCTTTAGTATATTTTATTTATTATATTTCATTTTTGTAGTCAACACCATTCCTTATTAAATTCTTAAAAACTATTTAGAGTTACATAAATACATATACTTTTGGGATCTCAGCAAAATTGTTTGGCATGATGTAACGTTATGCAAAATTACTGCGTGACCAGTTTTGTTTCATATCTATGAAAGTAGCAGTATTATATTTCCTTCCGTTTGAAAATGAAAGATACATGATTTTTGTTTTTAAAATAGTTTGAAAAACATCTTTAAAGGAAAGGTAATCAGATAAGATGGTCAATAATAGTAAGCAATCTAGGTCATATCTGTTTATTTAGTAATAATTTTAAAAAATATTTTATTAAATTATTAAAAAACATTTAAACAGTTAAAAACATTTATTTTAAAAAAGGTATTATTAATAAATTTAAATCTGGAAACTTATTGCAATATATTCTATTTATTTATTTTTTTTATCCTTTTTTCCGCTTAAATATTGTACTACAGTATTTAATTGGATTATGTAAGAATATATAATTATTTAACTTTACCCACCAATAAAACGTAAATATATAGGGCATAATGGTACAAACTTAAAGATTCTTAGGCATTTTAGGTATTTAAAAAAAGGTTTGTAAAAATTAAGAATTTAATAAAACAACTGATAACGTAATTGATGTTTATAATGTATTTTATGATTACTATGTATTTATGTTTCTAATAATGTGAATACTATGATTTACGAATTATTTATTTGTTCTTAAATATTGTTTTTTTTAAATTTAAGTAACAAACTGAAAAAATGAATATATATATGTATTTTTCTAACGTTTTTTTTAATTTTAAGGAATTTTAATTTTCTATTTTAAAAATAAAATAGCTATCATAAAGTCTAATAGTTTAATATGCTAATGAATAGTTTACAATACTAATGAATTTTTTCTTATGAAATTTCTGCAAGTGAGAAAGCTTAAGAAAGCTTAATCAGGGACTTGTCTTAAAAATCATAAATAATGGCAACGAGTATGAGATAACTTTTATTTATGGCATTATGTTTAATAGTTTTAATGTGGGATCAATTGTAACTATTAAATATCATCTAAGAACCTTACTATATGGAATCCTAATAATATTAATTTGATTACAGTGTCCACAATAAGACATTTGCTTGTTTAAGGTCATCATCCGTTAATTGATGAAAGGCAAAGCAGAAAAAAACTATTTAAATATGTAATAAGTATATTCATTCATATAGTGTAGTGGGCCGGAATAGCCTGGTTGGTAGGGCACTGGGCCCATGTCCAAGTGGTCGTGGGTTTGATCCCTGCCGGCCGAAGACTCCCCGTGTTGTAAATGGTGACTGATGCACGTTAAATCTGTTGAGTCTCAAAGTCTTCCATGTTCCCATGACAAATCAATATCTCTGGGGGTACCGAATTGGAGATTGATCGTTCTCTGATTCATATCTGTGGATGAATGAATGGATGCATGAATGGGTCCACCCTATGAACGAGTATGACGTAAGGGTCTGGCAGAATTCGAATTCTTGGCCATAGATGGCGCCACTGGTAAACAAGAACAATCGCACCCCCTTTGCCTTAATGGCATACGTCAACAACATTCATAGTGCAATATACCTCATGCTTTTAAAAACAGTCTTGACGAGAAATTAAGTTATTTTTCTACCGAAGAAAACTTATTTTTTAATAAGCTGTTTAGCAGCCTATTATTTTGTCCTTCAAGTTGCTATAAGAGTGTAACACAGTTTTGATAATCTGGAAAAAAATTACCGAGAATCATAAATAACTCTAATATTCCATTTGTTCACACCAGCTCTCTCCCCTTTTTATTTGCAATAGAATACTTTCATACTTAAATACATATATTTATTAGCATTTTTCTACTTAAAAGCAGATTGTTTTCTTCTTTTGAAATTCAAAATGTGAATCAGTAAGAACCATACCTGATTTTATGTTGTAAATATAAAGTATGATTTTTTCTTCTGCCAGCTCCATCGATATCACCTCAAGATGTCAGAGCAATACCAATCAGTTCAACAATGCTGAAAGTGACTTGGAAGGTATGTGGAGTTTATCTTAAAGTTATTTTACTGTTGTAGAGTTTCCTAAAAACTAATTCGAACATGTACTGAAATAATCAGAAAGAAGGATCGATTATTTCAGTACACCTAAACCTATACCTAAACCTATTACCTAAAACCTATACCTAAAACCTATTTTTTTTCTGTGCTCAGTGTAATAACTCAAGTATTAAAAGTTTTTAACAAAAATACATTGTTAGTTTGTCTATTAATGCAATTTTCTCGTGAACGAAAACTGCTGATTTGTTCAATAATAAATAAATGAATAAATAAATAAACACAATAAGAAAAAAGTTATCGAGCATGCAAAATTGCTAAACATGACCATTATTAATAATATATTGAGAAAAAAATAACAATATATCTTAAATATTATATAAAACACTATAATTAAGAATTTGAGTAATTGATTTCTTGGAATTTCACTTGAGGTTTTTGCATCTTTACGTAATGCATTCTATATTATAAAGATACATTTTATTCAAAACAGTGAGAAATATTTTGGGCTATATTTTAATTTAGTTCGTAAAAACAAGTTTTGACAGAAAGTATAAATAAAAAAATTATATATTTTCCTACAGTATACATATCAGATATTAAATAGATATAAGCAAAATTTAATCTTTAAAATGAAAGAGATTGAGGAAAAAGCAACAAAAATACTGCCTCATGTTTATGACACAGTGTGTTAATTTAGAAATGAGATCAGCGTAATTTTAGGAAAAGCTTCAAGATTCAGTCCGTTTTCAGCCACGCCCTTGAAGACTTATATTTCTAAATAATATAAAAGCCTTCAATGTCATATAATATACGTTACCTACTACACATTGATACTTTTATCCGAACATGGACATTATTAATGCTTTTTTTACTTAACCTTTTTTATTAGACTTCTTTTTTCCTACATACAAGTAGCCTCGTAAACTCAAAAATAACCCGTATGACAAAACTCAAAATTAAGAAATCACGATGTTTTTCTTGATTTTATTAACTGTTAAAATTCAAATTCTCTATGTTTTGATTTATCGTAAGGACTAGTCTCGTAAAAAAATATGTTATCGAAAATGATATTACATAAATTATTATAAAACATATATTTTAAATTTTTAATAAATCCCATTTGAAACTTGGATGACCTAAAATATTATCTCAAATATATATATATAT